GGAGGAGGTGGCGGAGGGAAAGGAGGAAAAGGAGGAGGAAGAGGAGGAGGAGGAGGAGGAGGAGGAGGAGGAACCTCGTCGTGGCTTCGTCTTGCAGGCGGCCTCCTGGGCCTGCTGGCCGCGGCTACGGTTGCCCCGCTGCTCCGGCGGCGCCAGGCGCGAGGCGCGGGCCGCCGCTCGGGTTGCCCTCCGGGCGCTGCGGGGGCCATGCCGCGTGGTGAGTCGGTGGGTTTCGGGGCTCACCGCACGGGCTCCGTCGCGCTCTTGAGAAAAAGTGCGGTGAAAGGTTTTTTGCTGTTTTTGCCTTTTGGGCCCTCGCTGGGCGTCGGGACCGTCAAAAAACTGGTTCGGGATGCAAAATTGGTCCCGGTGAGTGGATCGTCAGTTTGGGGGGTCGACATTCCAGAAAAAAACATGACGTCAGGGGCCTTGGTCTCTCCGATGACGTCTTTGGCGACCCGGAGCGTCCGAGGTCCCAAGGCCGCGCGGTGACGAACCGCGCGGTGAGATCGATGGGATTCCGTTGTCCCCACGCGGCCTGTTACCGCACGGTTTCGGGGCTCCGAAACAATAGCCTGCAAGCGTTGTCGTCATCGTCGTCGCCGTCGTCGTCGTCGTCGTCGTCGTTGTCGTCGTCCGTCGTCGTCGTCGTCGTCGCCGCCGCCGCCGCCGCCGCCGCCGCCCTCGCCGCCGCCGCCGCCGCCATCGTCTTCGGAGTCTCCCGAGTCGGGGTCGGGGTCGAAGACAGGAGGAGGAGGAGGAGGAGGAGGAGGAGGAGGAGGAGGAGGAGGAGGAGGAGGAGGAGGAGGAGGAGGAGGAGGAGTCAGGAGTCAGGAGTCAGGAGCATCGAGGATCCGTCCGACGGGCGAACAAGCCACGGCGACAGGACGACCTCGTCGCCACCCACACGCCTGCCCGCAGGGGGAGCGTGGGAGACGACGGGACCGTCCAGGGCGCGGCTCCCGAGGGCCGCGGCCGCGCGGCTCCCAAGGGCCGCGACGGACCTCTGATGAGGTCGACGTGGACGCCCTCCGCGACGGGGCCGCCGCCGAGGACGAAGCGGGGCGCGCCGAAGCCGAACCCCACGATGCACGAGGGGGCGGGGAGACGGCTCCCGACCGCGAGCGGTCAAGGGCCCATCCGCCTCCCCGGGCCGCCCCCCCGTGCGGCTTTGGATTGGTGGACCCCAAACGTGGTGGTGAGAACACCCGGTGGTGAGTTTTGGGCGATTTGGGTAATGGTTTTCGAGCGCTGGCTGGCCCAGGACACGCAAAACCTCGTGGCGACCGCGTGCCCCCAAACCCGGTGGGGACCCAGAATTATCTCTTTGGGGAATCGGGGTCACCACCGGGTGTCTCACCACCTGGTTTGGAGACCACCAATTGGAACGCGAGCTGGCGGCGCGCGACAGCGCGCCCCGCTCCCGCGCCATGCGGGCGAGGTCCGCCACGGCCTCCATCAGGTTCGCGCGGTCGCTCGGCGGCTCGGTCGTCGCCGCGCGCACGAGGCCGCAGGCGCGCGGGAGCTCGCCGAAGCGCGCGCGGAGCTCCGCGAGCTGCGCCTCCGACCAGGCCGCGGGCCTTCGGCGGGCCTGGGCTTGGGCGGCTTCCACCCGAGGTGTGCGCTGCATCACCACCCACCAAACCACCCCAACCCAACCCGAAGGTCTCGATTTGACCTCCATTTCCAGTTGGGGGGGGTCGGGGAACCTCGAGAAAACACATATGGAACCCGTACCCCCCCCAACCCGAAATTCGGGTCTTCGGGTTGGGTTGGGGTGGTCTGGTAGGTAGTCATTGCAGCTGCCTGAAACTCGCCAGTTTCGTTTGCTGGATCTTGTGCTCTTCGAAGTCTGACCCTGGGTCTCTCCTCGCGTTCCCAAGGCTGGGCCCGCTGGTGGTCCGTGCTGGGCATGAGCTTCTCGCGTGGGCTACGTCTGTTTGGGAATCGGTCTCGACTTCTCAGGTTTGGGCCAGCGCCGCGCAGAGCTCCATTGCTAAGTTTGCGAATTCATCGCGCCCGGGGAGATCGGCATCTTCGCCGAGCGACGTGGCGTTGCTCGCTCTGCGAGGGCGAAGCTGAGATTCTCGCGATCGGCGCCGCATCTCAGCGAGCTTGGCTTCGACTGCAGGTTGCTGCAGCTCTCCCCGGTGCAGGTCGGGACTTTCGTCGGGCCGCGGGCGGTCGGGGCCTCGGACAGGTGCGCCCTTCATTCTTGGAACCGATTCGAAGGGCCTCCGACGTAGTGCACCCGATCTCCCGGGGCGGGGTCGCCAGGATTCTTTGGGGGGATACGCAGGGGAAGAACAGGCGCCGCCAGCGGCGTCTTCGAGGTTTAGTCTCAGGGGCCCATTGGCCGCGATCTCGTCTTCTGGGCGCAACCCTCAGGAGGCGGATGAGTGCCGGCTGTGCCGAGGAGCCCCGGGCGCGCTATGGCGTCGCCTGGGCGAGTGACCCGCCCGCGCAGTGCTTCGACGGGATCTCGCTCGCTAGTGCGCGTCTCTGCTCGCGCGCGCAGAAAGTGCAGGAGCGCTGCTGCTTGGTGGCCGATCGTGCCGCGAGATGTTGCATCTCTCCTCGTCCTCGGAGCCTCTGTGAGATCGGGGGGCCCGCGCTGACCTTGCATTCGCATCGGGGGCTCCAGCCGGGCTTCTTCTCGGGGCTGCTCCATTGGGATGGCTCGTCGAAGCATGTGGGCCTCGACGGGCTCGCGAGGGCAGGCTGGGGCACTGCGCCGGTCGACCGTTTCGGTCAGCTGACCGGTGCTGCTTGCGGACCTGTTCTTCTGACGCTGGTCGGCTTCCAGAGACAGACAGACAGACGCCATGCACAACATAGGTGCGTTGGCAGAAGATGTGAGACATATACTAGCCAATTAGGTGAAACGGCAAGCGCGCTAAGCATAGGAGGAGGAGAAGGAGGAGGAGGAGGAGGAGGAGGTGGAGGAGGAGGAGGAGGAGGAGGAGGAGGAGGAGGAGGGGGGGGAGGAGGAGGCTGGCCGGCTTCCCTCCTGTTCAAGTGTGCACGGGCTGCCAGGGCGCTCTGGACTCGTTGGGCTCGCGGGCCTGGGTGCCCCGGGGGCCCTCGGGCGCCTGGGGGGCACTCGTGGGGGCCCGCGCGGAGCTTTCGATTCGTGGGCACTCGAGTGGGGGCACGCGCGGGCTTGCGATTCGTGGGCACTCGAGGGCATTCGGAGCTTTCGATTCGTGGAGCTTTTGATTCGTGGGCACTCGTGGGGCCCGCGGGCACGCGTGGGCACTCGTGGGGGCACTCGCTCCCGGCGACTTCGAGTGGTTCCAGACTCTCGGCCACGCGTCTGTCGCCGACGTTGGCGCTGGCAGGAGCGCTGGGCGGGGGCGACGCGCCAATAGGCATGCCGTCAGGTTTGCGAAGCTCGGCGCTGAGTGTCGCGGCGCAAGCGACGAGGAAGCCTACCTGTGCAGAGTTCTTCGGTGTCTCGCCCCTGAGGCGTGGGGATGGGCTGGGGGTCTGGAGGTAGCGATGTCTGGAGGCCCTCGCGACACCGCGGGATCGTCGTCAGGGGAGTGATTGCCGCGGGCAGCAGCCCAGTGAGTGCGACGCTGCGCAAGGCCAAGCGTCTGCCGACGATCAACAGGAGGGGGGAGGGTCGTCGGGCTTTGGGGAGGAGTGCATGCGGTTCACTCGGCAGGCCAGGCAGCCCCGTCTTCGATCGGCTCGGGACCCAGAGAAGCAAGATCCAGTTTCGCTGTCGATGTGGTTCCTTTTTCTCGGGCGCGGCGAATGCTGGTGTTAAAGGGCCGTGCTGGCCTCAGTCTTCCACTGGCGGGATCAATGATCACTTGAAAAGGATCTGGCTGAAAAAGTCCCTGGTTCATGCGAAAAACTTGAAGGACATGGCCCTCCATGCGGGCCTGCTGCAGCGCCGCCCTCTGTTCCACGCTTCGGTCATTCAAAATCGTGATCCCGCTGCAGCGGTGGCCTCATTCCCGCGCCCCCGGTTATTTTAAGCGTGTTTCCGCAACAGCACTGGCGTAGTCGATCCTTCAAGTAGCGCTGTCAATGTAGCGCTGGCCTCGTTCCAGTGCTGCGGTCCTTCCAAATCGTGCTCCCCCTGCTGCTGTGGCTTCGTTCCCGTTTTCGGTCCTCCCCTCGTCCCCGCGCTCCAGCCCTTCTAACTCGTGCTCAGCGCTGGTCCATTTCCGACAGTGCGCATATGTGGGAGATCTACGCCATGGTAAGGGATGGGGGGGAGGGGTAGGACGTCAAATGTGACGCTAGCGCGCCTAGTTTGCCTCCCACCCCCTCTCCTCTCCCCAACGGCCTCCCTCCTCCCTCCTCTCTCCCCCTTGCGGTCCCTCCGGCAGTGGAGGGAGCCCAGACGGCGTTGTGGAGCTGAACGTTTCCCCCTGCCGAGTGGATCCGGTCCGCTCTCCCCCCTCCGCCCTCCCGCCTTGGCCTCCTCCCCCGCCCTCCCCTCGAACCTGCCAGCCGAGCGGGCGTCCCGCGTCGCGGCGGGCTCGGGCGTGCTCGGCAGCCCTCCGCCGTGGCCGCGCCCTGCCCGTCTGCCCCCCCTCCACCCTCCTTCCCCTCCCACGTGGGGGCGGCTTTCGTGGGAAGGCAGGGGTAAGCCGCCCGAGACTCGAGTTACGGCACGAAGTCCCAACAAGAAGAATCAATGGGCAGGATACCCCCAATCGCCCATTCATCGCCGTTAGAGGCCCGCTGTCCCCCGCCCCAGGAACGTGCGGAACGTGCAAGGCCTATTGCCGATTTCTCGGCGATGTACCGCCGATTCCAGTTCGATGCTCCCCCCCGTGAGCCAGTCGCCCCCCCTGAAGTTCGCCCTCCTCCTCCTCCCCCTCTCCCCTCCCCCCCTCCTCCTCCTCCTTCTCCTCCCGCTCCTCCTCCCCCTCCAAGGCCACGGACTGCTCAGGCCCGCAGCCACATGCGGCCTTCGCATCCGATGGCCTCCCCCGACCGCGAGCCGCCAGGCCCGCTTGGGGGAGGAGCAGGGGCCCAGCGCGCTGCTGGCGGCGGCGCTGCGCTCCGCTAGGGGCGGGGCGTGCTGGCAGCGGGCAGCCGGGATGGAGGGAGGAGGAGGCAGCAGCAGCAGCAGCGACGGACCAGGCTGCAGCACAGGAAGGGCAAGGGCGAGGACGAGTGAGACGACGGGCACCACGGGTACGGGGACGGCTGGGCCATGTGGAACATCACCATCACCAACACCATCATCATGGCTTGTGCACGCCTCCTTCGTAGGGTACAACGCTTACACGTTGATGCGTACAGGTCGTACGGAGAGCCTGGGACTTGAATTTGCTAGAGCATCGGCGATCTTCGTTCCTGGAACAAAAATCCCTATGGAGCTCAACCAGCAGCACCACTATGAGCGTACCCCCGAGTTCCACTGGATACACTGGGGGTGGGGACGTGGGTCAAACACGAATGCGTCGGCGGGCGTCTCTATTGCGGTCTCGGCAAAGTTATACCAGCCCCGACATATTATTCGTATAACATACCCACCACCACACCTTCAGGGGCGAGCGGGTTGTGTAGATATCGAGAGAGGTCCCCAGAGATTTCGTCTTATCGTGGGATACTACCCGCCTCGATGTTCATCAGCACGCCGCGCCCCCTGCTGGCGGGCGACATGCAAGCAACTTACCTCGTGGATCAAACAGCAGGCCGACAGCGTCCCAGCACGTGTATTGCCAATCATTTTCGCCGATCTGAATCTTAAGATGGGTAAGAAAGGCACCGAGCTTATTGATGATCACACCGTTGGACCCCATCAGGCCGGCCACGAGGATGAGATGTCCACTTTTGTCCGCAGGCAGTTTGAAGAGAGCCACTTGACCTTCCTGAACACACATCATGATCTCGGACCTAGTTACTATGGCCTTAACGGAGCTCGTAGTCGTATTGATTACTTCTTAGGCCCGAGGGCCCTTCTGCAGATTGGGGTACGTATGCGAATGTTCTGGAATTCTCAGCGTCGGCTGCAGGCTCTCCCGCACATGATAGATCACGTACCCATGTACTTCCAGTTTCGTGTACCAGCACCAACACCGCACCAGCAGCAGCAGCGATGTGCATGGGACTGGGGAGGGCTAGCAGCAGCACTGCAGAACGGGTATCGGAGGGAGGAGTTCATGAGTCAGATTTGCCAGGCCTGGACAGCATACCGCCCCTTGTGTCGAGCTCTCACCATGGACGAGGAACCTACTCGACACGCGGGGGTGGTCACCCAGATCATCCGACAGGCTGCTGTGACAGTATTCTCGGCAGAGAGATCGACGCCCGCGTGGGTCACCGAGGCGAAGGAGGAGAGGAGGAGGTTACTTCGACAGCGGGCCGAACTGCGAGACCTTGGGTTCGAACTCTCGGGCGGTCTCCTCCGGCGTCTCGATCACCAGCTTCGATCGCATCGACGATGGCAGGAGAGGTGGAGGAGGGAGTCGCTCGAACAGGAGATCAGGGAGGCGTGGGCGGTTCGTGACCAGGCTCGGGTGGGATACCTCATCAGGCTTCGGGCGGGCACCAACATGGGACCTCGGAAGAGATGCTATCTGGCCCTCCCGACGAGTCGCCCCAGCGCCGAGGACTTCAGGAAGGCGATGAGCCTACCAGCTGTCGAGGGGGGTCTGACGACGACAAACGCGCACATGAGCAAATACATGACCTCTGAGGCCGTTCAGAAGCTCCTGGATACCCCCCTCGAGGACCTCCCTGCCTACGGACCCCGACTCGCCCTCCCGACCATTGAGGACCACGAGAGGGCTGCAGAGGACCTAGAGCTCGTCAAGAAAAGGATCCTTCACAGCACCCATCGTAGATATGCACCTCCGTGGTCGTGGCCTGTCGAGATATCTAAGTTGCTGCTATTTCCCGCCCTTCTGTTCCGCCCAGGGTACTCCCAGGAAGGCATAGGTTCCACGTGGAGACGACATGATCCCGACCTTCTGGATTTCGAGGCACTGGCGGCCACGACCCGCGTCCGGAGGACGATCAACATTGACTCAGAGCACGCGCAGGTGGGTCACGACATGTTCGTACAGTTGTTGGCACACATACGAGCACGAGCACTTCTACCCCAGCACGCCCGGGTCAGTCATGCTATCGCCATCGGCAAGCCAGGCAAAACCCCGACGGGAAACGACGTCACTGACATTACAAAATGCTTGCGTATACTGCATTGTTTCTGTCATTGGTGGCGAGTACTGTTACGTGTCGGGCTAGTAGATTTCGGCAGTCGGTTTGACCCCCCTCCCTGGGCATACGGCGGCATCATCCATAGGCGGAGGGAGGGACTCATGACCATCATCAAACTCATCATGTGGAAACTTCGACGGTGTCATCATTATTATCTGGTCAAGTCGTATGATATGCGCAACGCCTTTGGCACGGGCATGCACGAGCGCTTGTTCAACGCACACAGGTCACGGGGAGTTGACGAATACTATGGCGAGTTACTCACGCACCACAGGAGCACGGGCATGTTATATTATCAAGCACGTGATGGTGACGTCAGTTTACATCCCACGACGGGGGGCAGAATGGGAGACTCTAACGAGCCTGAGCTATTCATGGATGCATTCTACCCTCTTGTTAGTATGTGGCAGCGAGAGTTGAACACGATAATCGGCGACGATTTGCTATGCCATGACCCCTTACACGAACCGGGAGATCACGTAGGTGACACATCTGATCCCAGCGGTACAGATATTGATGCCTCGTTCGGCGGATTTATCGACGACTTGATTCGTGTGATCATCGTTCCCACGGGCACGGTGCAGGAGGCGTTGCAACTAGATTACTTGGACAATCGCATCCTAGATAAGCGACTTCAGGAGGGCGGGTACGCCCAACACGTCGACAAACAGGAAACCCTCGTTCATCTGGCCACGGCTAAGGACACGAAGGAAGCCGAGGCACGGATCTCAGGAAAAGCCATGACCAACCTTATCCACTTGGGCGGGTTCATCCACGTTCAGGGCAGTAACAGAAGAGAGATCAGGGCACGCATTAGAGCAGGGTCTATCGGGTGGAGCAATCTTCGGCAGTACTGGTTCACGGCGGGTCCTTGGCGAAGCATGCGCAGCACATTCCTAGCTAATGTAGCGGGCAGAGTATGGTCGGGTCTGGAGGCGTACGTGCTTACCACGAATGAGCTTAAGGACATCGACACGTCACTAGCCAAGAAGATGCGAGCTATGTTGCACGGGCGCGCGCATGTTGAGCACGAGGACGGCGCGCGCACATCCTGGGCGACCAAGCAGATTTTCGAAGAGTGGCGAATCCCGCCGACTGGAATCGAGCTTATGGTCCGTCGTCTTAGATGGTGGCAGTCCATCGCAGGGAACCCCGAACACCACCGCCATTATCTTAGTATTTTCTTTGGAGATTGCCGATTTGAGCGACGAGCCAGAGAGGCGGGCAACGAGGTTGCAGATGCCACTGTCTTGCCGAATGGGGAGCTTAACCCGTCTCCACACATCCACCCGTGGGCCCTCCAGTTTTCTCAGGACCTGAACGCGGCCCTGGCCCACCCGATTGGTGAGGGGCTCAAGGAAGTCTGGCAACCCCGTACGATGGCCAATTTCTTTGGGAACCCTGAGGTCACCGAGGCTTTCAGATATTGTGATTTTCGAGCGATGAGAACGACGGCATGGGCACGCGAATGGGCCCCACCTGAATTTCTCTTGGAACAATTACCGAAGGAGGGGGAGGAGGTGGGGGACACGGAGAGTGACGAGGCCGAGCTGGCCCCGCTAGTTTGCGGGATCGAGGGCTGCCGAGCACGTTTCGCCACCAATAGGGAGCTTGTCAAACACCAAATATGGGCCACGACGCTCCCTGGACACGGCACCCCCCCGATCTTGTCCGTCATTACGCTCGACAATAAATGCCTTAGCTGCCAGACGATCTTCGGCAGCGTGGATCACACGCGGAGGCATCTCAGTGGCGCGTGGAGAGCAGGCAGGTGTATTCAGAATCTCACTCGCCACTGTTATGATTGGACCCCGTCTGCTGAGACACGCTGCCCGTTGGCTGAAGATACGGATCAACCAGAGTGCCAGGAACAGTACGACGACCCAGCAGAGCTGCGGGCACACCTGGCCACACACATTCCTCATACATCCGTAGGGTTTCGGCTCACAGTCACTCAGCCTCAGCCAGCGCACAGTGTCCGCGCCCCAGCCGGCGCCCCCAGGCCAGGCGCGCCACCGCCGACCTTCGACGACCTGGACGACACTCCCGACCTTCGTGCAGACCTGCGCGCAGCGTTTCGTCAACTTGCTGCGCGACGCCAGGCTCGGAGACGGGCACGAGAGGGACCAGTGCGACGACGAGTGGCAGCTCGACCTCCGCCGACCTCTTCTTCTTGGCCACCCACCTCGGCACCTTCGCGGGTAACGGCCGCGAGCACGCCGCTACTGCGACCTCGCCAAGCACCGCCTGCTGAACCTCGAGCACCACCTGCACAAGATGTCGGGCGGCGCGGCGGCAGCGGCGACGGGCAGCTTCCAGGAGCCAGGCCCCCCTCGGCCGAGAGCAGCGTGGCGGACGGCCGCCCCAGCGGCATCCTCCCAGGCGTCTGGGAATTCTGGCGGCGACTCCAAGCCTCCCGACCCGAAGAAGGGAAGGAAGGGCGACAGGGACAGGGACACAGCCATGGACGACGCCAAGGGGGAGCTGCAGAAGATCCTCGACGGCAAGGCTGGAGGCAAAGGACGACATCGAGGAGGCCGCCGTCATCGCCGAGGCGGCCACACGGAGAAGAAGTGGACGAGCAAGGACGCGAACATCCAGCAGTGCTTGGCCGCGATAGCCAAGCTATCCCTCCAGACAGCGCAGCGGCAGCGCCTGACGATGGCGACGGTGGTCGACACGTTCACGATGCCGAAGGGACACCCGGTCATCACGGCGCTACAGCAGACGCTGGAGGACTACAGGAAGCAGGTGCAGACCGCGCGCGAGGCAGGACCAGATCAGCTTCGAGCGGTTGGCAGCCCGACCGCCTCCCTGGCGGTCACCCTTCTCGAGAAACTGGCCACATGCGACGTGGGCGGCGTGAGCCGCCAGCAGCTCAACGACTACCTCGACAAGATCGAACCGACGACGGGCGAGCCGACCATCACCCGCGAGCAGGTGGAGTTGGACGTGCAGGCCATCAAGATCGAGCAGCCCCACGACGAGAGCAAGGCCAAGCTCCTCATCGCGGGCCCTACGTGGCCCATGAGGGGCACGGTGACGCACGCCTTCAAGGCGGAGGGCGTCGCGACGAGATTCACGGGCGTCATGCCCGCGGGCTGGCTGGAGAACGAGGTGGCGACGTGGTTGGACGTGCTGCAGCAGGGCTGACGACCGTGAGCCGCCGCCCCATCATCTTTGTTAGAGGTGAAACCGTGCCTGGCACGGCGCAGCAGGCTCCCCGACCCACCTCTTCCTCCTTGAAGAGGGAAACTTCAAGCGCAGACTCCGTGACAGCCATCACGGTGCCCGATGCCTCCACATCTCCCCAGCCTGCGGACGGCGCGGCACCGCACGAGCAATGTCATGAGGCTGATGAAGAGGCCGCGGCATACCTCTTCGGTTAGCGGGGAGACATTGTTTCTTTTCAAGTTCTCGTCGTGAACTATTCTTGGGCGAATAGATCCAGACACCATGCATCGGAGATAGCTAGGCTGATGCACCACCGTCGGTGCCCTCTCGGGAGATACTGCGACCCGCGGCCTGCCTTTGCCTGCTCCTCGCGTTGATGCGCGGGGGGCGCTCGCCCCAGGCCTGCGTGCTGGACCAAAGTACGGGCACGGAGCGTGCCTGCGACAGCTCGCCGAATCAGTGTATTACACCCGTTTCCAGAGGCATTTGGGCTCCCTCGTGGAGTAAAAGGCTCCTCCCCCTCCCCCTCCCCCTCTCCCCTCCCGTCCCCTCTCTCTCCCCCTCTCCCCTCTCCCCTCCCCCTCCTCCTCCTCCCGCTCCTCCCCCCTCCCCCCCAATGCCCGCCACGGGCGCCGGCGCGCCGTGCACCTCCTGCGGCGCCGGCGCGGCGCCGTACGCCTGCAGCCGCTGCCGCTCGGCGCGCTTCTGCTCGCCGGCCTGCCAGCGCCGCGCCTGGCCGTCGCACCGGCGCTCGTGCGCCGCGGCGACCGCCGCCGCCGCCGCCGACGGGCCGCCCGCGCGGCTGGCGCCCGCGGCGGCGGCCGCGGCCGCTGCCGGGGCGTCGCCGAGGCCTGGTCCATCCCGGCGGCTGCGGCAGGGGCGGATCGTCCACGAGGCTTCGTCGCTGGTGCCGGGAGGCTTTCTCGCCTCCGGCTGCTTTCCAGCAGCTGCGCCCCGCCGAGGGCGTTCTGGGGTGGCCAGAGTCGTTGGAAGCTCGATGTCCGACGGTCTTGTTTTTTTGTTCGATCCCCGTGTCCTCCTTCGATTTCGGCCTTTGGGGCCCGTTGTCAGGCCCCGGGGCCATCAAGCATGGATCTGGGACCAGAAACTACCGCCGTTTAAGGGGTTGAGCTCTGCCCGACGCGGGGATTAAGCCATAACCACCGCCTGACGAGGCCCCCCGGGCGTGTAGTGCACGCCCCTGGATTGCTCGCCCCTGCGGCAGCCGCCGGCCACCGGGTGCCGGGGTCTGCGCGCGCGTGGCCCTGGTGGTGCCGTTCCGGGACCAGCGGCCCCTGCAGGACTTGGGGATCCGCCGTCAGAGTTCAAGGGAGGAGAGTCCACCCCGACCCCCGCAATTGTCGCAGGCCTAGAGGTTGACACCAACACCAATTTCGGCGGTCTGCCTCCACCGAGGGAAGAAGATCCCGATCTCGGTGATGGTGGTAACACTCTGGCTTCCAAGGTGGCCGAAGTATTACCACCGACAGCCGAAATCTGGGATCCTCTTCCCCCCTGTGGAGGCAGCCCCCTGTGCTGGTGTTGGTGCCCACTTCCAGGCCTCCACAAAATTGGCGTTTGCTGCACAGCCTCGGGCGTGTACTGATCAGGAGGGAAAGAAACACACAGACACAATTAATCGTCGATTCCCCAGGAAATATGGTAAAATATGGGAAGTGGGGGGGAAGACAGAAACCCAGAAAATATGGGAAAATATGGGGGATCTTTTTATTTGTGTGAATTTATTTGTGTGTCCCGGGGCCCCTTCACTCGGGCGTGTACTGAACTCGGCGACCACCTGCGCTTCCTTGCCCCTGCGCCCTGCGGGTTCAGTCCGCGCCGGAGCGTCGGCCGCCCCCGCCGGGAGCCACGTGTTAGGAGGGAAAAAAACACACAGACACAATTAATCGTCGATCCCCAGGAAATATGGGAATATATGGGAAGTGGGGGGGAAGACAAAAACCGAGAAAGTATGAGAAAATATGGGGGATCCTTTTATTTGTGTGTATTTATTTGTGTGTCCCGGGGCCCCTTCAACGTGGCTGCAGGCATCCTTGAAGTCTGAACCCCGCCCGGTTTCCATACGTGGCTCGGGGGTCGCTCAAGGGGCCCCTGGGCCAAGGTGCCCCCGGCTTTTCGCTTGATGCTGCAGCCCCTGGGGCCCTCTGGGCCTCGTGAGGGGCGCTCTGGAGGCCGGGGGGGCCTCCTGGGAAATCCTGGGGGTGCCCTGGGCTTGGGGGCGCTTCTAGCAACACCCGAACGCGGTTGCCTGGGAGCGGCCCCGTCCATTTCGATTGTTTCCGTAGGTACTTCTTCTCAAGGGCTTCGCTTGCGGGGCTTTTGCTCAGTCCCTCTGCTCTCCTGTGCAAGAGAGGGGATTCCATCCCCCATCCCCCAGCTGGCGTTTGCCAGCAAACTGCCCTGGCTGGGCGTTAACTACACAGCCCTGCCTTCTTCGATCCCTGCCTGGGGGGCGTTTTGTAAAACCGGCTTTGCGTGTCGGGGGGTCTCCATGATCGGGCCGGGCGAAAGGGGGGGATTGGGAAAGGGGGGGTTACGAAGTTTGCTGCATGCAGCCGGCTTCGGCCCCACCGAGGGGCCCATTCCTCGATGCATGGACGCCTCCGGCGCCGGGAGGCGCCCGGAAAATCACCCGCGTGAGCTGATTCTCAACCCCCCCCTTTGCTATCCCCCCCTTTCGCCCCACCCGAGGCTGGTCTGTTTCCCTCTCCCCGTAGAAGAGGAGGAGGAGGAGGAGGAGGAGGAGGAGGAGGAGGAGGAGGAGGAGGAGTCAGGAGTCAGGAGCATCGAGGATCCGACCCGATCCATGAGCCATGGGGGCGGTTTTTCCGCCCTCGGAGGGTGCGTGTGCGTGCCCACCGCCCGGAGTCCCTCCGGACCAGGATCGCAGGGGCCCTCCTCGAGGAGTGGCGGGTGCGCGGATGTCTCGGGCACGTGCTAGCACGGATCAGGGATGCCTGGATCTGGCACGCGGGCACGTCCGTGGTCGCGCCGACGAGCGGTCGAAGCCAACGTCGCCAATGGCGTTGTACGTAAGCGGGGCCACATCCCCTTTCCTGGGGGACGAGTTGGCGGCAAGGCGTTTAAGGATTTGCTGGAGCGACAGCAGTGGATGCCAGCGGCTTGCCTGAATACTCCAGATGTCGTAATATAAGGGAGGGGGGCTTCATTTCGGGGGGGGTCTCTTCCAGGCCATCTTGGAGGGCCTGGGGGGGGGGTCTGGGGACGATGTTTTGGAGGGTTCTCCCGGGGGGGGGGGGGGTCTAAAACTTCTCGTCTGGGAGGGTTGAGACCCCCTCCCTTTTATTGCGAAATCTGGGGTATCCACGGATCGGGGAATCTATCCCCTGGATCGTGAGGCCAATGCCGCCCGACGTGGTGGCGGAGCGCGCCGTCCCTGGACGGACACCGGGTGCGTCGCGAACCAGGCGTCGCCAATCCATGCTTGCGCTCCCTCGAATGTCTGCCCGTCCTCGCGGGCAGGAGAGTGCCCCAAAAAGTCCACCGGTTCCCCGGGGAATTTGGGGGCGGTGCTGTGGCAGCTGCGGAGGCGGACATGTCCCTGCGGCGCCCCCCGGAGCAATGTTCGTGGTGGGGTGGGGAGAGGCTCAGGGGTGATGAATCGATCCCCTTATTCACCACCCACCAAACCACCCCAACCCAACCCGAAGGCCTCAATTTGCCCTCCATTTCCAGTGGGGGGGGTCGGGGAACATCGAAAAAACGCGTATGGAACCCATACCCCCCCCCAACCCGAAATCCGGGTCTTCGGGTTGGGTTGGGGTGGTCTGGTAGGCAGTCACTTATCGCCCATTGATCGCCGATAGGAGCCCGACAAGCGTTAGGGGATAGGGAATAGGCTCAGGAACAGAGATGTTCACCGGTAAACTGGTACATTCTCTGGTGAACCGATACGTTCCTTGGTTGAAGCTTTTGAATCTTCTGAAGCTCTTGAAGCTTCCTAGGAGCTTCTGATTCTTCCCAGGAGTTCTTGAGGACCGTCTGAGGAGCTCCTGAGGATCTCCTGAGGAGCTCCTAAGGAGCTTCTCAGAAGCTCCTGGAGGGCTCCTCAGGAGCTCCATAGGAGTTTCTTGGAAGCTCCTGGAGAGCTCTTCAGGAGGTTTTTGGAGCATCTGAGTGGAGAGACGAGAGATGGGATGATAGGGGATTGGGAGGAGGATAATTCGAGCGGATTCTAGCGGAATGTTCAGTAAACGGACCGCACGCCGCGCACATTCGATTTAAACAGTTGCAAGAGTTTCGCGGATTAAGGGTGGGTGGTTCGCAACATGTGGTGCTCGCCGTAGTGCCGCGCACATTCGTTTAATCAATTTGCAAGAGTTTCACGGGTTGAGGGCGTTTTTTTTAAACATGTTGTTTTCGCTTTTGCGCCGCGCATGTGCGCTTCAAACTTTTGCAAGAGTTTCATTGGTTCTCAAGTCTACATCGCGTTCAAGGTTCCACAAACAGTCCGGCTGCCTCCACATGCAGTCCACCATATTTAGCTGTTTCTACGTCATCTCCTGATTCGTATCTCTTCTGTTCTGTTCAACTTGACAGTTGGGAACATGGCGAAACGAGCATGAAAGGCAACGGGATCTACACCGGATTAGTAGGAAGACCGTAAGGACAACACACACGAGCTCATGGACGTGAAGGTCGGCGAGGGGGAGGACTCGGACGTGGAGGTAGTTCCAGCAGGAGAAGGAGGTGGAAGGAGCGAAGGTGGGATGGTGGAGGCACCAGCGTGGTTTCAACAATACGAACAACGCCATAACAGAAAGGACCCGACAACTCCAAAACGTCAACGATACCGTCAGACAAACAAAGGAAGAAGTGACATAAAGAAAGGGGAGCGTGCAGGATCTCTGCAACAGAGTTGTCGAGCTCGAAGGCGAAGTTGAAGCGATCAGAGGGGGCGCGTACGACCTCTACGTGACACAAGAGGATGCGCAGGAAATGGTGGGCAATATGCTCCAGCATGCCCTACGTGACCAACAATCCAAACCAGCGTGGGGGAACAGGAGGGATGATCAGACAAGGGGGGAAATATCACGGAGGAGGAAAAGGAGGAGGATATCCGCGCCAGGCAGGTGATTGTTTTGGGCTTCGATGGAAATGCCACAGCGGCAGCAGCGATTCAACATCTTGAACAAATTCTTCAACCTCTTTTTGGCGATTGTACCGAAACTACGGTTACAACCAGGACGGATCCCACCATAATGGGTATGATGGAACTCCTCAGTGTTGCAGCAAAAGTTGGCTTTTGGAATAAAGCGAGAGTTGCACTACCAAGTGGCGATAATGCGTTTGGAGAAGTACTTTTTCCGAACATAATTTAACGATTGAGGATCGCGAGCGGGGAAACCGTTCGGGTGCACGATGCAATACCTCAGCAAGCGTGCGGAGAATACACTCCAGGAAATGATAAACATTTGACCTAATTATACGGCTGTGCTGAATCACGGGACAGGGAAGCAACGGACAATTGCGTGGTATGATAGGGGAGGGGGGCTGGCATACCACAGCCACGGGGAAGGCAGTGGAGGAGGAGGTGAAGGGAACGATGGAGAAATGGAGAAGGAAAGTACGTCCAGAACCTGAAACAGAGAGCGAGTGACGTTACGACGACGTTCGCGGCCCACCACTAGTAACATGAGGGCATCTACAAGGTCAGTTTTGCCAGAAATATCCGACACCCGTGGGGAAGGAATGGGTACTGTAACCAACCTAATTGGCGACCCCCTCTTGCAGGAATTCCTGTACCTACCAAGACCATTCGACGATATGCGCTACGTTCCCACAGGACGACACCTACGACGACAGCTGCCCGACCACGGACGGCAGCTTTCAAATTCGAGAGATTCGATCCAGATAATAAAGACATGCGTTGTTATGCTGGAGTTTTAGATTCTGGGTTAGACGTAAACCGACAAAGCGGGGGCCCAGAGGAAAACAGTCCGTCGGCTTTTGCTGCGGGGGGCGGCAGAGGAATGTATTGCAATGTTTCAGGTGATGTTCCGTTGTCCTTCCGACGTGGCCCGCGCACTTGTCAGGATAATTGCATCTCCAGGAGACAACCCGCCTCTGGCGACAACAAGCAGGTCACCAATGCTCCAACTCCGGCGCCCGACTCTACCTCCGACCCTGCATCCGGCCCGGCTGCTCCGTCACAGTCTCCGGTGTCACGCATATAACTTTCATCGACTCTGGTTTTATCTCTTCGGGGTCCGAGGGGGAATGCGCAGCCGAACGTCGCGACGCCGTGGACTCTGGATGTCC